ATGTGTCATAAAAACCGACTTACAAATATTGATCTGCACAAAATAGTATTAAAAAGTTCTAGTGATCTTAGTCAATAGTTTTTAACATGGATATAAAACAATCAACATGTCTGGCGGATATATAAATCAAGGTATGAAAGTAATTATTGTTGTTAATTAACATAGCTTTAGATATGCTTATTAATTAAACATTGCATGTAACCGAGCGAATTTATATTAGGTTTACTTTATCATAAATAATTCTCATATAATATGAATTATTTTAAAGCAAACAGAAGTTTGTTGTAATTTTTTTTTATAGAAAAACATGCGATTGATTTTAAGGTTTTGTTGGAATATATCAACAAAATAATTCCAACATAAGATTAATGGCTATATATCAGTAATTAATTTAACATACCTACTTCAAAATATGTGAATACAAGCTACTTGTATTTATTTTATTGCAAAAATTTATTTATATTTATTAATTATGAGAACTAGATGTTACCATTTTAATAATTTCGTGGATTATTGTTCTATATAACATCTACTGTATTGATATTGATAACTAAACAAATCTTATTAAAAAGGAGCTTTCTGCATTACACAAATAACATTTATTTTTTTTTTTTCAATTTTAAACTGAGACTATATAATATATAATAATTGCAAAATTGCTAAATTTAAAAGATGTATAAGTTGATATCATTTAAAACTTTTTGTTTCATATTGATAAATTCAATCCCTTAACCCATGCTTTTTGCTTTAATATTACTCTGCTTTTTATTTTTAAAATGATTTTTGCAGGAATGAAGTTTATGTTAAAATATGAATTAATTGTTAATATTGATTATTAAAACTTGAGTTTTTTTTTGCAATTGAATTTTGCAGTGGCATGAAGTTTTGTTATATTTTTTTTGATTTTTTATGTTTTTAATTTACTCAAATGTAAAATATGTTTATCTTAAATCATACTATTTATCTTTTATTTAAATTATACTATAATATACTATTTTAAATTATATTTTTATAACTTTTTTGTCTTTATAATTTTATCAATTCCAAGGAATTTCAACTGATTGAGCCTTATATTTCATATTATGTGTTTTTATTGAAATTTTTATTATGTTTGAATAACGTTTTTTGCAAAAAGCCTGTTTTTCTTTCAATTTTAACGTTGGTGAAATTGTTAGTTTTAAAAGTTACTTATTATTTTCTTTATAATTGAATCATATTTTTTTAAAACTCAATTTTTCTCAAAATATGATAAACTTAGTAGCACTGTTTGATAGGCTTTTATTTGAAAAATATCAAACAGGTAAATATAAATACTTACAATTAGTTACATTTTTCTATAAAACTGGTTCATATAGACTCTATATTATAGAGAGTAATCTCATGTTGAATATTCTTTCTTTTTCAGAATTAATATAATAAATGATAAAATTAACGAGCGTTTCGTAATAACAGTAATTATATTTGATTTACTTAGTTGTTGTTTTTGTTTTTATTTTATATTTATTATGCAAATTTTCGCCGGTATATTATTTTAAAACCTATATAATAAGTGCAATTTTCAATTACAATATTCGTAAGTACCGATTAAAAATATTCCTTTCATATGAAATTGCATAAGCAATTAAAATTTTAATATCCCAAGTTTTATATTTTTAATTAATTAACTTTGATTTCATTATACCAGAACGAGGTATTTAATTTTGGTTTTAATTAATTAAATACATCCTGATTTCAATTTTTTTCATCTTAACAAAATATTTAATACAATAGTCAGAAGAAAAATATCTCTCAATAAACATTCATTTAATCTTTTAAATTAAAATTAAATAAATACATATATACTCAGAATTTGACACTTAATGATATATGCATTTTGATATGAGATTTATTTCTTCTAACAACTTGACACCTTTTATTGAGACGAAATTTAACTAATTAATTCATCTTAACAGCTTACCTTTTTCATTTCTTTCATTTGCATTTTTTTCAGTATATTTTTAGCGCTTTTTTTTCAAGTCATTTCTATTCTAAGTTATATCTCATTTAAAATGAATGACATGTAATACTCCATCTATATTTATACGACATATTATTTATATGCTAATTTTGTGATTACGAATTCTAAATATATATTAAGATTTTTATGGTTCTCAATGGTTTGTAGTTTACGATATCGTAAGTAATTAAATTAGTTTGGCATTGGAACTTGATTTAAAACTAATTGATAGGAAGCAGACTTTGCTTGCTGAAATTTCATTGCCCTTTTGTTTGGTTCTGTAATGTAAATATTTTAAATTCATTATATTCGTTTGGTAAAATATTTTTCTTATCATTACAAGCATCCGAAGAAGCACAAGGTGAGTTGGATTTATAATTTATTGTTGCGGAACGAATGTGACAAATGAAATGGAAAAAATGTTAAAAATTATAAATGAGCTATGTGTATTTTAGTTGAATTACATTTAATTTACATGTCTCTCTAGATTTTTAGTATAAAATGAACAATTCTATTCTGAAAAAGACAGGACATTTATTTCTGATTTATTACTCAAAATATTCTGATGGGGATCCATACTTTGGACATAACTTTTCACTATGATTACTATATATTTCCCTGTAATTTCTTTATAATTGATAATACAGCAAATTTAAATTAGGCACCGCGTTATTCTGAATGAAATCAAAATAAGTTTGTATTTGTCTTAACTTTATTACATAATTTTTTTTGTTCTTTTTTATTTTTTTTTGAGTTTATAAACAAAAATCCTTTGTCCCCTAAAAATTTTGAAAACCTTGTATGGATTTTTGACCGACTATTAGTTCTAGACTTACAATTTATAAAATATTATTCAATAATTTAAAAGTTTTGGTTCAGAAGAAGCATTACATTTTACTGGCCGACAGAAAAAGTGATAAAAATGTCCAAATAAACGATTATACTTCAAATATAATTAATAATATAATTTGTATATCATTAATAAAAATCGTATAAATTATATAATAAATAAATTTAATACGTAAAGTAAATATGATCTATTACATTTTTCCAATTCATAAAAATATTGGCACTTGTCTATTATGTATTGAGAAAAGTATTGGGGTAACATCATATTGTAAATTGTATTCAAATTAACAACATTCTTATCTTGTAACACAACACTTCTTCATGTAATTATTTATAAAATGATATGAGCCTGATTATTGGTTATTAATAGCTTGAATAAATAAATAAATACATAATAAAT